CTTGTCAACTCCCCCAAGTCTCTTGATCTCTTGATAGGTATCAATACTTGACAGTATTAATCCCATCACACGCGCATAATACTCCTCCCCCCCTCCTCCCTTCCACCCTCTCTTTCCACTGGTGATCCTCCCATCTTTATCTCTCTCTCTCTCTCTCTCTCTCTTTCTCTCCCTTATTTCTCAGCGTTTTCTTCTTCTGTCACCATCTCGACGCGAAATCCCGCGACCCAGAACAAAACGACGGCAAACAAAACTTGTTTTGCAAACTACCACTGCCAAAAATGTCTACAGATGAGGAACTCGACCGCAACTGGCAGCCCAACGGCCGTCGTCCCCAGTCGTATGTTCATCTCCCTGAGAATGCGCCCGGCCGCTCGTGCGCCTTTCCCTTCCAATTGCTGGGAAGGAGAGAGTGGCAACAAGGCAAGGCTGACCGATAACCCTCAGCACAATGGCTCGCACCTTTTCCCAGGAGCTCATGGACATCTTCCGTATCGAAAACTCCCTCACCGACCTCGACTCTCAGGTCGACCAGAGGTTTGTCTGTCCCTGTCCTGCGTCCAAGCACATGATCCCAACCCATTTCCGCTCATGAACGACTCTCTACACCCCTCTCCGTTCCCAGACCAAACACACACACACACACACAGAGAGAGAGAGAGAGAGAGACTAACCTCCCAAAAGGAAACAGCATGTAACCAAATCCAACGATGAGCTCGCCTCCCTCGAGGCCCGCCTCAAGGAGATGGAGTCCCGTCTCAAGAAGAGCCAGCAGCGCATGTCCATGTCCCAGGTCTCCCTGGGCAGTCCCAAGCCCTTCTCCGTACCTGCCGCTGCCTCTTCTTCCCAGCAGCAGCAGCAGCTCGATGCGCCCGTCAACAAGGACGACTCCAAGTCCCGATCTCGCCCTGGAACCGCCCGTGCTACCCAGCAGGCCCCCAGTGCCGGCGACATGCCCCCCACCCCCGGTGGTAGCGAAGGTGAATACTACCTCGTCACCAAGGCTGATTTGGACGACAGCCCTCGCTGACATTTATTTTTCCACGAATTTTCTCTTTATGGACTGAAGATGGTGACCACGAATGAATCAGTTACCGCCTAAGAACAATCGAATGATGAGGAGGTCTCTACCTTCCCCCCCCTCGAGGGAACACCCTGAGGGACGTCAGCAGAGTCCCTCTCTCTCTCTCTCCTTTCCCCTCATGGGAGACCGTCCGATGCCCTCTGGGTCAATCCTAGAGCAAAAGGCAAATCTGACGGCCACATGCAAGCCACCCCCCCCACGACGACCAGGTTCGAGTTCCTTGCTTCTTCACACCATTTGCATCGGGGTGCGGACGGGGGTAGAACAGTCTCAGCACCACACACCCCGTGCCTTCCAAAGTCAAACACGGACGGTTATCTCTATCCCTCTCCCCCAAATCAACCACACCCAAACACACATTCGGCGTTTTGGAATGGCATCACGGCTATTTTTTCTATTTATATCCACATCATCCTTTATAAGCCAATACATACCCCCAACCCACCGTGCCTTTTTTTATTGGCTTTATATCGCTCATTTTGGCATGCTTCTTTATCTTTCTGTTTTTAGGGAGGGACTCTTTCGATGGAAAAGGATATATATATATATATATATGCTGCCGGGACTCTTCTGGTTTTTTTCCCTCCCTTTTTCTTTCTTTTTTTCGGAGGGGATTCATTTTGAATGGAGCATATATACGCACACGCACATTTTTGTAATATGGTGGAACGAGTTTCTCTTTTAACGGCCTAGCTGAGTCGTCATTACCTATACCAATGATTTCATTTTATTATTTCCATGTAACGTTCATGAACTTGACTTGGCCTTGGCTGGCGTGGTCATCTATCTCAACATGAGCAGAGGTTCATTGTCGGGACCAGACTAGTACAGCTGGAGGATATTACTAAACTTGCTATGAGAGGAGAAGAAGAAGAGAAAAAAACGGATGCGATGGAAAGAAAAAGAAAAGAAAGAAAGAAAGACAATCAACCACCCAACGTCTTGTTAGCAAACCCAACGGCCCCACTGCCCAGATCAAACGCCACAACGACAGCCTTGAGCATCATATCCCCCAAGACAGCGACGTCGAGATCCTTAGCACCCTGCATGCCACCCCAGCAGTAGTCCTCATCACCGTCGCCTATGCTGCTGGTGGTGGTTTTTCCTGTGCTGCTGCCGACAGGCCCATAGTTGAGGTACTTACCGGCAACGGTAACGAACTTGTCCGACCCGGGGATCTTGAAGAGCAGATCGGGCAGGCTATCGGCCAAGACGCAGGGGAAGGTGTAGGCATTTTCGAGGCGGGGGTCGACGCGCATGCCCGGGATGTCGAACCAGTACAGGCCAGCCAGGGCCTGGGGGAGGAAGAGCAGCGTCGTGGCCGTGTCGACCGTGGCGCGGAAGTCCCGGTCGTGCCACAACCCGTGGCTCCCGTGCCACCCAACTGTCGAGAAGTCGACGTCCCAGTACGAGCTGGACGGCACGGGGGGCACCCACGCGATGGCGTCTTCGGACAGGGAGTCGTCGTCCGCCACCTGGCCAAAGTCGATGCGGCCCGACGCGTTGTGACGTAGGTCGGCTGTGATGATCGGCCTGCCGTTGCTGCCCACCAGCGCCTCTCTGATGAGCCGGGTGATGCTGCTGCTGCTGTTGGACGTGGGTTTTGACAAGCCCAGAACACCGCTCAGCCCCGTCTCGTTCTCCAAGCTGGCGGGTATGATGCGCGCAGATTTGACGGTTGCAGAGTCGACGCGTAGGGTGCCCAGCCTTACGGTGTCGTGGTACGTCACGCCGTCGGCAGAGGTACCGTCCCCTGGAGGGTGTCAGTCACGGTGCCATGGGGGAAGGGGGAGACGGTATCGTCTGTTTACCGTATCGGATGTCCCATTCTGCATCTTGGAGGAGAGTAGACGTCTTGGACATGTTGGGACGGTATCGGGGTGCCCACGGACCGTTGTGGTTGACCGTGTAGACTGTGGCTATCGACTCTGTCCATCTGTCTCTGTCGGTAACTTGTACACAAGAAGAAGAGAATGACGGAGAGGGAAGAAAACAGGGGAAGCGGAGAAGGAGGGGGGGGAGGGGGGAGGAGGAGAGAAAGAGATGGATGTGGAGAAGGAAAGAAGGGACTCACAGATCTGAAGAGCTCGTGTCGACGGCCAACTTGATCAGCTGCGGCGGATTGCCGACCGCCAAGTTGGCAATGTACACATCATCTCTACCAAGGGGGTTGGCAACAACGCGGCCTACTGGAAAGTGTTGTTAGGTCTTGATCAGCAACCTAGGGGTCCTGAATCTCTCACCACTGCCAGCACCGTCGTCGGGACCGGTGTCCGTAGTCGAAAGCGCAGACATGACCTGGGATGACACGCCACCACCCCATTTCCGATGAGCAGCCACCCAGTCGCGCACAAAGTCTCTCCCCCCTGTGGCATCATTAGAAGAAGGGGACACAGCGACTGAGAAGGTCTGTGTCTGATCCCGCGGCTGAGGCAGCGCAGCCACAGCCGTGACGAGGGTGATGGAATCGACAAGACGCATGTTTTCTTCTTCTCTTCTCTCTCTCCCAACGAATGCTGTTCATTCAATCCGATGTCTTCATCCAAGTCTTCACGCACTTTCAACCATATGAAGAGAGAGATGTAAAAAGAGACGAGTGTGTATATGCATGTATGAGAGAAATGAACAAAGAAAAGGGGGGGGGAGAGAACATCTACACATATACTCACTCCTTTGCCCATGTCCTCCTTCCCAACCGAAACAAATTCTCAGCGCAACGAACAAGAATAGAACAGAAAAACCGCGGCATCATGCAGATCTAACATCCGTCCCTCGTACAGATAAAAATAAAAATCCAGACGGTACCTGTCCCCTGTCTTCATTCCAGTTACACTCATGCCGTTTTCTCACCTCTCTCTTTCAGCTTTCATTCTTTTTTTTCTCCATCGCGCCACAAACTCGTATACAATTTCACCGAGTACTTATAGTAGAGAAGAAAGAAAGGGGGGGGGGGGGAAATGAGAGGGAAGAGAAGCCCCCGTGTTGGCCATCACACAGACTGGCTTGGTATCACAGATTCACCGATGTCGGGGTCGAGACAAGACGTTGTAGCTTGTGGCCTGAGTATAAACAAAGTAATAACAACAACTACTACTACTACTACTACTACTGCTATATTGTTCCTCGTTGTATCTTTGAAAACTTCCATCGTGGTCGATTTGAAAAATTTCTGCCATGTCCTTTGCGCGTGCATATGCACATGTACTGCAAAGCGAAGATACATTGCTCTCATGCCTCTCCCCTTTCTGTTGCTCAGCCAAGGCCTCGTGTCACGTTGCTTACTGTGATACGAAGAGGGCTTTCGAGGAAGGAGGAAGGGACGGCAAGGTTCAATATCCGGTCATAAGGGGAACTTCTTTTTTTGGTTTAGACGCGGGAAAAGAAATAGAGGAACTCTGCATGCTTGGCCTATTCTAGACCTTCTTTGTCCTTCATATTCGTCTACAATCCATTATGTATATGCGTGTGTGTGTGTGTGGCCCTATTGAGTCTCTCATAGCTCATCATGGTTCTGGGCCTTTTGCTTGGCAGCATCCTCCTCCACCTTCTTCCAGTCGTCTTCCGTCATGTTGTTGATCCACTCCTCCAGCTCCTCGGGGGTATATGTCCTATCGCCGACCTTGATGGTCTCACCTGAAGGGTTGGCACTCGAAGTCTTGCTGCTGCCCTTCTTGCTACCGCTGCCGCTGCTCTTGCCTCCCTTGGTAGATGACGACTTCTTGCTGCTGTTCTTCTTGGCTGTCGCGCCCTTGAGGACGATGTTCTTGGTCGCCAGCTCGATATCCTGACGCCTGGTCACGATCTCCTGCACAAGGAGTACGGGGTTGGCCGTGGCCGGGAGGGCGTCCTGCTTGACCTCCAGGTCCTCGAGCCAGAGCTCCGTCGTCTTGGCGATGTCCTCGAGGGACTTGATGTCCTCGCGCGTGTAACCGGGAAGGACAGGTCCGCTCTCGTCCTTATCGGCGGCCGCGTCATCCTCCAGCGCGTCGTCGTCTGAAGCAGCCGGGGTCTCGCTGGCGGCAGCCGTCTTGGCGTGCCACTCCTCGTAGTCGTCAATGTTCTTGCGCATCTTGCCCACGAGCTCCGACGTCCGACTCAGGACTTCCTTGAGCTGCTTCACCTGCTCCGGGCGCTGGCTGCCCTCGTCCTTGCGCTTCTGGATGGGCGTGACCAGGTCCTGCAGCTCCTTGAGCTTGGCCTTGAACTCATCCTTGGTGGCGTCCGACCCGTCCTCGTAGAGCCACTCGCCGGCGGCGCTCGACTTTTCGGCTAGCTTGGTCCGCTCCGTCTCGGTGGACACAGCCACGAAGGCCTCGTCCTCCAGGAGGTCCCTGATCTTGTACGTGAAGCCCTCGAGCTGGTTGAGAGCCTCCTCTCGCTGGATGCGGGCCTTGTCAGACGCCGCAAATGCCTTGAGGCGGTCCTTGGCCTTGATATGCTGCTCCTTGGAAAGCTCGGGCGTGCCTAGCTTCTCCACCGTAAACTCAATCGGTATGGAGACAGTTTCCGTCTTCTTCGCCTCCTCCGTAGAGCCGGCCGTCGTCGACGACTTGGCGGCATCGGCGGTGGAGGACTTGGTGGCATCAGCCTTGGAAGAGGAAGTGGCGGTTGAGCTCTCTCCAGGCTTATCCTCAGATCCGACAACCGTCTCCGTCTCGGTGCTGTCCTCCAGATGCTCCTGATCCTTCTTGCCGAATCCGAACAGGTTCTTGACGCCATCGACAAAGCCTTCCTTGGCCTCGGCCTCGCACTCAGCGGCAGCCTTGACAATCTGAACCTCGCCATCCTCGCCGCTGAGCTTGGCGCCCAGACGGAAGAAGACCCCGGACTCGACGCACGAGGGGTGCTTCTCCTTGATGAAGGCAATGGTCGCCGTGAGGTTCTTGGTGGAGATCGCCTTGATGTCCTTCTTGACATCGCCAATCTGCTGGAAGAAGGTGAGGGTGAGGTCCTTGTCCTCAGTGAAGGTGTACTCCTTGGCAGGGCCGCCCAGGGGGGAGATGGGGGACCAGAGACGCTGCGTCTGTTCCTTGCCGCTCCCCGCAGCCGTCCACTTCATACCGGCGGCGTAGGAGGCGCCCTCGGAGATGCGGATATCCTTGACACGGAAGCTGGGGCTGAGACCGGCAGCACGGAAGCCGGCACCAAAGGCGGCAGCCTCGTCCGAGTTGACATTGGAGCGAAGCTTGTCGGCGGAGCCAAACGTCTTCTCGAGGGCCTTCTGGACGAAGGGAGTGCGAGTGGCACCACCGTGGAGGATGACGGAGTCGAGATCGGCAATGTCGAGACCAGACATCTTGAGCGCATCCTGGACGGCCACGTTGATGCGGTCAACGTAGGCCTCGGCCATGGCTTCGAACTCTGTACGGGAAACCTTGTACTTGAAGTCGACGTCCTCGTATAGGCCCTCGAAGCTGGCCTGCGTATTCTGGTTGGCGCTCAGGACGTGACGTACGCGTTCGGCGTCCTTGTTGAGCTTGGCCATGGCCCTCCCGTGGGCGCGGATGCCCGCCTCGGTGGCAGAGATCTTCTTGGCGCCCTTGGACTCGAGGAATTGGGAAATCATATCATCGACGATGAGGTAGTTGAGAGCGTCACCGCCGAGGGTGCGGTCCCAGCCGGCGCCCATAACCTGGGCCTCCTGGACCGTCTTGTTGAACTTGCCAACGTCCTTGACCTTGCGGCTCTGGAACTTGATGACTGAGGCCTTTGTGGAGCCGGCGCCCATGTCGAACACCATGTGGTACTCGGGCTTGGCGCCATCGTTGATGTTGGGGAACTGGCGGCTAGTAGCGTAGTTGAGGCCGACAGCGAGGCCGTCGCTGACCAGGCTCAGGACGTTGAGGCCAGCCAGCTTGGCGGCAGCCTGCACGGCGCGCTTCTCCTCGGCCGTATAGAAGGGGGGCACGGTCAGGACGATGGATCGCACAGAGGAGCCGTCGCCGGCCGCGGCCTCGGCGTTCTTCTGGATGTTCTGCAGCTGCATGGCCAGCAGCTCCTCGACGGTCCAGGAGTCCTCTTCGGCGGCCACGCTGCTGCTCTTGAACTGGGCCGTGCCGCGCGTCGGGTTGGCTTCGAGCTGCAGGGCCGGGTGACGGGCGGCGTACTCGCGGACGGTGGGGTCGTTGACCGGAAGGCCCAGCAGCGTCTTGAGGTTCGGGTACACCTCGCCGGGGAACCTGGCGACCAGGGCCATGGCGTCGGATCCGTAGAGCCTCTCAGGGTATTGGCCGACGTTGGAGCCGCTGCCGCCATTGGAAGGCTTAAAGACCACGGCAGACGTCTCCTTGCGCCTCGAGTCCTTGGTCAAGATGATGTCGAGCGGCACGCCGGGCTTGACCAGCGCCGCCTTGATGTACTCAGTTCCCAGGTCGACGCCCATGACGGCCGAGGCAGCCAAGACGTGCGACGAGAGTAACAAGATGGCTCCTAGGAGCATCGCCAATGGCGACACTCTGGTGGGAGCGGCCACCATGGTGTGTGTGCGGGCGTGTGTGTGTGTGTGTGGCGGGGGGAGGGAGACGCCTAAAAAGAGGGAGAGAGAGAGAGAGCGCAAGGCAAAAGCCACACAACAAGATGACAGTTGTGAAGATATGCACAAGATGCCAAAGAAAAAAAAAGAAAAGGAGTGAGGATGCAAAGGGTGGGAGGAAAGGAATCTCGTCACCAGAGGTGGTTGACGTGGCCTCAAGGAAAGGTGCAATGCATCGAAGAAGAGGGAAAGCAAGTTGCCCTTTGTGTGTGTGTGTGCATGTGTGTGTTACGAGCTGGCGGCTAGAAGAGGACAAGTTGTACATAATTAAGCAATTGCAGGGTGCTGGCACCGCATTCCTTAGCTGTGACGTACAGCGTCGGGAGCTGGACAAAATAAGTCAAACACCAACCCAACCGGCCTTGTACTTGTATAACCGTCTCCTGATCTTCATCCATCTTCCTCTTTGTATTTTTTCTCCCCCTCTGAAGCCCTTTACTCTCTTTCATCTCTGGTATAGCTAAAAGGCAGCCAAACCTCTCGTCTTTGTTATTTTACGAGCACTATTGGAAACCTACTCCGTACAGCGTTGAGTTTGGCTTCTTCTTCTTCTTCTTCTCCTTTTTTAGTATAATTTAATTTGAAATTTTGTTATCATCTTTTTGAAAGACATCACCACCCCACTACAAGGCTGAGTGAGGACAGTATTACTACAGATTACAAGTGCAGTCAGTCCCAATACTAGACAACATTCAAGGATGAGAGTCCAGCATGAGATTCCAGGATGACACAACGAAAAACTGCTTAGCATTGCATCGAGGGGGCACGGCAGCTGGAGGTTATGGTTATTCTTACATAAATCTGCGTGCATGTGTCATTTCCGCACCGACTTGAGCAGCGGCGCGATCCTTGATCTCTTGCTTAGTCCAACTCGGTATAGAGGCGGCCTGCTATTGTTGTTGGTCATCCAAGATGCCCGCCTGATTTCACTCTTGATCTCGCTCTTCTTTTCGGGTTTTGGTTGGTATTCCAAGGTGGGGGTTGCAGGCTTTTCCGGCCCTGTGTCTGTGTCCCTGGTGATGTTATCACCGTGTGGCTTCTCCTCCTTGGGTGCTGTGCATTCTTCGTCATTCTCTTCAACGTCTTGTATCGTCTTGGCAGTGCATTTCCCTCCCTTTGGAGTGGCATTCGCATCCTCTGCTGCGACGTCGGCTTGTATCTTGGTAGTCCCATGGACCATCACTATAGTGGCATCTTCTCGTATCGTGGTATCGACGGCCTGATCTGTCGCACCATTTTTCGGCCACCCTCGGCCTTTCTTACTCTTGGCGCCTTCTTCCTGCTTTGGCTTCTGATGCTGCTGCGGCTGCTGTTGCTGTGGCCTCGCCTTCGCCTTCGCCTTCGTCTTCGCCTTCATCTTCGTCTTCTTCTCGTTCGCTGGCCGACGGGCCTTGATATGGTCCTCCTCAAAATCAGATTCCATTTCATCCTGTACCGACTGCGGAGGGGGCTCCTCGGGCTCAACTGAGACACCACCATCATCATGCACGGTTTCTGTAACCTCCTTTCCCTTCCCCCCCTGCACCTCCGATCCCTCCTCCAATGCCCTTGGGGTTGAGCCCAGAGCAGGTATCACATCCGGCGAAGAGTTCCAGTGCCCTGCATTCCGCGGAACCTCCTTCGGCTTTGGTGTTGTCGCCGTCGGTGCAGCGTCTGTGTTCTCGCGCGCTGACGACGCGACGCTCCGCTGCGTGTTGACATTTGTTGCTGACCCGCTAGACCTGACAATCGCCCCCGCAGGCAGTCTGGGTCCCATATCCTGGCTCGGCTCCTCCCCCTCGGTGTCGTAGAAGCTCCGGTACTCTCTCCTCTGACTATCCGTCAGCCCTCGAGTCCCGACCATGAATGACGATCTATCGATCGGGAGGGTCGGCTGTAGTAGTGGCGGAGGCATGCTGCGTGGTGCTGCGTCGCCGCCGAAGCCGTCGTCTCCGTCATTGTGGTCCTCGCGGGGGGGTAGTTGGACCAGGTCGATGTCCTGTGATGACGGTATCGTCGAGCTGATTTTCTGCCTCTTGTTTCTGCGTCTTTCCGTTTCGTCGTTGTCGGTGGCGGCGGTGGCGGCGGTGGCGGGGAGACTAGCCGTAGACAATAGTTCGGTTGAAGATGAATGTCTGTTTTTTGGCGCCTTGATGCCAATTGTAGGGATGCGGTGCGTAGGCGCAGGAGGACTGCTGGGTATCTTCCACGGGTCGTCGGCCTGAAGGGGGTCCGTAGCTGTCGGCTTCCCTGCTTCGGCATGCCGTTGCTGTGGCGTGGCTGTGGGCGTGGCTGCGATCGCGGTGGTGTTGGCACCATGAACCGGTGGTGATGGACGCATCTGCTCATCCAGGATACTCTGGAAGAACGCGGGGTCCGTAGACTCCTGTTCGTGCTCGTCAGGGGAGCGCTGCTGCTGCCTGTCGGACATCTGCCAGGGTTCGGGTCCGGGTGCCTCCCCCGCGATCGTGGGGGCCAGTATTGGACTGTCGCCGTCGTCATCATCGTCCGAATCCGCAATGATATGTGGCGTCGACATCTGAGTGTCCATGCCCCGTACCTCTAACGAGGAGTCACCAGGAGCGGATGGAAAGTGCTTCTTCGTCTTCACACACGCAACGCAAGCGGGCTGTACGAGTGCTGGATCGTCGAACTGCTGATAGTAGATAGGCATAAGAGGGGGGATGGTGAACTCGCGCGCGGGGCAACGCGCTACCAGACGCGAATTCACGTGACTATACGCATCAAACTACCTGTAGAGCAGTAGAGAGCAAAGTGCTCTCACCTCAAAAAGCCCGTCAGACACTCGACACAATTCGATCTATGAAACAGGGGACAGCTGGTTTTCGATGGGCAAAAGAAAAGAGAAGAGAAAAAAGTACTGAATTGTTTCGATCATTATTCATCTATGTTGAATGCTAGCCCATCTGTCACCAAACCAACAAAAAAAAACAAACAAACAAAAACATTGTTGTTTCCCAACCTCCGGGCTAAAAACTTTTTTTTTAGCATGCAGCAAATTGTTGTTAAATCCCTTATCAAGGCCCAAACGCCGATGTTGAAATCGTAGCCGCTCATATTCAAGCAGGCGGCTGCTGTCAAATAACACACACTAGTTGTCACAGTCCTCTCCAACCTCCCTCACATCATCCTTACAGGATAATGCTGACAGCATTTATTTGGCGTACTGGGCACGGAAGGCCTTTGCGGCGTTGACCATGTTGACGAGGGCCTCCTTGGTCTCCTTCCAGTTACGGGTCTTGAGACCGCAGTCGGGGTCGATCCAGAGCTGCTCAGGCTTGAGGTGCTGGAGCATCTCGGCGATGCGATCCTTGATCTCCTGCTCGCTGGGGACACGGGGAGAGTGGATGTCGTAGACACCAGGGCCGATGTGGCGGGGGTAGGCCTCGTCAACGAAGACCTTGAGGAGCTTGGCATCCGACTTGCTGTTCTCGATGGACAGGACGTCGGCGTCGAGGGCAGCAATTGCGTAGAAGAAGTCCTGGAACTCGGAGTAGCAGAAGTGAGAGTGGATCTGGGTAGAGTCCTCAACACCAGATGCGGATAGGCGGAAAGCCTTGACGGCCCACTCGAGGTACTTGGTACGCTCCTCGCCAGAGCGGAGAGGGAGACCCTCGCGCAGGGCAGGCTCGTCGATCTGGATGACGTCGACGCCGGCCTTCTCGAGGTCGATGACCTCGTCGCGGAGGGCCAGGGCAAGCTGCTGGGCCTGGACGGACTGGTGGACGTCGTCACGGGGGAAAGACCACCGCAGGCAGGTGACGGGGCCGGTAAGCATACCCTTCATGGGCTTGCTGGAAACGGAGACGGCGTACTTGGACTCCTTGACCGTCATGGGGGCGGGGCGGGATAGGTCACCGACAATGATAGGGGGACGGACGCAGCGCGAGCCGTAGCTCTGGACCCAGGCGTGGGTGGTGAAGGCGTAACCGTCTATGCGCTCGCCAAAGTACTGGACCATGTCGTTGCGCTCGGGCTCGCCGTGGACGAAGACGTCGAGACCAAGCTCCTCCTGGATCTTGACGTTCTCACGGATCTCCTTCTGGATGAAGCCGTCATACTCGGCCTCAGTAATCTCACCCTTGGTGAACTTGCTGCGCTGGAGACGGATGTCCTTGGTCTGGGGGAAAGAACCGATGGTGGTGGTGGGGAAGAGAGGGAGCTTGAGCTTGGCCTGCTGCTGGGCAATGCGGACGGTGAAGTCAGACTTGCGGTTGTGGTCGGCCTCGGTGACCTTCTCCTGGCGGGCCTTGACCTCGGGGTTGTTGGTCCTCTTGGAGGTGGCACGGGACTGCATCGACTTGGCATTGGCCTCGAGCTGCTCGCGGACAGCGGCAGGACCCTCGGTCACGGCCTTGGCGATGACGGCAACCTCGACGGCCTTCTCGGAGGCGAAGGAGAACCAGTCGGCAATCTCGGCGTCCAGCTTCTTCTCACTGGCGAGGGTGTGGGGGGTGTGGAGGAGAGAGCTGGAGGTGGCGACAATGACGCGGTCCTTGCCGAGCTTCTGGATGGCCGTCTCGACGATCTCGATAGCACGCTTGAAGTTGGTCTTCCAGATGTTGCGGCCGTCAACGACGCCGGCAGAGAGGACGGTGTTGGGGCCAATGGCGCCAGCGATGGTGTCGAGCTGCTCGGGGTTGCGGACGAGGTCGACGTGGACACCGTAGATGTTCTGGGGGATGGCCTCGAGGTTGTGGACGATGTCGCCGAAGTAGGTGGTGAAGACGAGCTTGGGGATCTTGTCACCCAGGCTGGCGAACTTCTCGTAGGTAGGCTTGAAAGCAGCCTTGGTCTTGGCAGGAAGGTCAAAGACCAGCGAGGGCTCGTCGATCTGGACAGTCTCGGCACCAGCTTCCTTGAGCTGGGTCAGGAGCTGCTCGTAGACGGGCACGAGCTTGTCGAGCAGGTCAATGGGGTCGACAGTCTGCTCACGGTCGGCCTTTCCGAGGTGGAGGAAGGTGACGGGGCCGACGAGGACGGGGCGGGTCTTGAAGCCAGCCTCCTTGGCCTCGAGGAAGTTGGCGACAACCTTGGGGTTGGCAGCCAGCTTGAAGGTCTGGTTGTTCTGGAGGGTGGGCTTGACGTAGTGGTAGTTGGAGTCGAACCACTTGACCATCTCCAGGGAGGGGACGTCAATGCCGTCCTTCTGGTGGCCACGGCCCATGGCGAAGTACTCGTCGACGTTATCAAGGCCATCCTTGGTGTAACGCTCGGGAACAGCCTGTGAAGGAGGGGAAAGGGTCAGCCGGCTGTGATGGAGGAATGCGGCCCAGCTGGGGAGAGAAGACATACACCAAAGTCCTGGATGTGGTTCAGGATGTGGTCGTACAGGGCAAAGTCACCGCTGGGGATGGAGTCGACACCGGCATCCTGCTGGATCTTCCAGTGGGCAAGACGGAGACGCTTGGCCTCGGCGAGGAGGTCGGACTGGGAGATCTTGCCGGCCCAGTCTGCGAAACGAATTAGCTTTTTGGGAAAGAGCTGATGATGAGCAGAGGAAGAAGGGTATGTCTTCTCCTTCTGCCCCTCTCTTCCTCTCTCCATCTCTTCACTTACAAGCCTCGGTAGCCTTCTTGAGGTCACGGTTCACACCCATGCGGGGGAAACCAAGAACAGCGGACTGAACCATTGTGACGAGTTTTGCTGATGTGCTTTGGAAACTCGAAAACTGATGATGATGAAGGAGAGAATGTTAGAGTTCAGCTTGTGGAAAAAAAAATTGAAAAAAAAAATTGTGCGAGTCGGGGTTGTGAGAGAAGGAGGGGGGGGAGGAAGAGGGAGCTGGTTACGCTGACTTACGTGGAAGAGAATCCTGGTGCTGTTCACAACAGGAATCTAGGTAGGACGATGGAAGAGAGGAGGATGCACCCGATTGAAATAAAAGGGTACGGATGGAAGGGGAGAGGAGGATGAAGACGGGAGAGAAAGGAGGAGGGGAAAAAATTTCAGAAAGAGGGGAGGGGGGTGGCAGCGGGGTGAAATATACTTGCGGAGTGCTGGATGGGCATTGCTCTGGTAGCACTGTGGCAGTATTGGCAAGAGACAGTACCTAATCGTAGCGAATAGACCGGGCCTCAGTACTGGTACGAATACTTATTAGGGTCCTCTAGTGCGAGAAAAGACGCAGCGTAGTGGTCGGTCGAGCCCAAGGGGCGGGGGAGGGGTAATGGTGAATTCTGATGATTCTACGGCGTCTCAGCAGTTTCTGCAGCCTCTGACGGTCTCTGGGAGAAGAGAGGAAGAGAAAAAAAAAAAAAAGAACCCTGAAGCATCAGCCCCTCCAACCCCTCCATGGAGCCCTTCCTCTTCCAATCTTCTACTTGGCAGAATTGCCCCTCGATCCACCCAGATGCATGCATGCATCCAAGCTTTGATTCAAATGGCCAGGCAACGTGCCTCGACATTGCTTGTCTTGTTCAATGTCACCTAATCCGATACACCGCACAATACTCGTCCTCGCAATGGCAGTCCGTAGTACGCCTCCGGTCGGCGATTGATCTCGTGTGTTGTGTCTGAGTATCATCCACGTTGTACGTTGTAATACCCCGCTCCCTGCTTCATAATGTGAGACGCGGGACCAGAGAATACGCCGAATACTTTGGTAGTGACGATAGTAATAATATGCCCCCCCCCCCCCCCCCCCCCCCCCCCCCCCCCCCCCC